ATGCGAACATAATAGTGGGTTTAATGTTTGCCATTTTAACGCTCGAAGTCTAACAGTTGATAAGCTAGAATATTTAAATTTTATTTTTCAGAATTTAAACGTTGACGTGATTTTCGTAACCGAGACATGGTTTAAGCCGTATGTAACTAACTCCGCATATGCTCTTTGTGATTTTTCACTAATAAGAAATGATAGATCTACTGGCCAAAGAGGCGGTGGGATAGCAATTTATTATAAGCCTAAGCTCAATTGTAAAATTATCTATAAATCCTACTATCCTGAAGCGGTCGAAAGTATTTTTGTTGAGTTTAGTGATAGCGTCCAAAAGTGTCTGGTTGTCTGTACTTATAATCCCCATAAATCTATATTTTCACTAAAATTTCAGAACTGTCCTTGAGCTATGTGAATGTCCTCATTTGTGGTGACTTCAATGTGGATCTCCTCGTTGAAAATGCTAGGTGTAAGTTCTTGCTGAATAACTTCAACGGCTGTGGCATTACTATAGCGAACAAATATGCAACTCGCTTTGCACCACACTGTAAGCCTAGCATGTTAGATCTTTTTGGTGTAAGTTTTGCTAGCGGAATAAATCATGTAGACCAGTTTCCCCTAGCTGGCGTTTCTGATCAGGAGCTAATATTTATTTCTCTTAATATTGAATTTTTTAAAAAGGATCCAAGGAGCCACTTAACGTTTATGTACTTCAAAAATATCAATGTAGCTGCATTAACTGACGATAGTATCTCACTAGACTGGAATCGCCGCTGGTTCCTTTCTAATATTGATGAAAAATTAACCCAATTAACTTTGCTAGTAAAATATCTGTTTGAAAAATACGTTCCAGTAAGAAGTACACAAATAAATAATTATAAAAAGCTTTGGCTAACGAATGCTATCCTAAATCTTATTAAAGATCGATCTAGGGCCTATAAGTATTGGAAACGAAATCCTACAAATGAGCGCTGGAATAGTTATAAAAATCTCCGAAATAAAGTGGCTAAAGCACTACGTAATAACAAGAACTACTTGGAAACCAAGCTCAACACTGACTAGTCCCCTAAAGCATTGTGGAAAAATTTAAAAACATTAGGAGTCTGTGCTAAGGACGCGAAAACATGTACGATTGATGCCGATGAAATGAATACTTATTTCATTACTGGTGCTGCCTTGTCAGATCCGTATCCTTTTACTACTAATGAAAGTTTAAATTATAAGCCGGCATACGAATTTTCATTCGATGTAGCTACGGAAGATGATGTCGCAAAATGCGTATTTGCAATAAAATCAAATGCTACCGGCGTGGATGGAGTCAGTCTTTCTACGCTTTCTAAAACTAATTCTGCTTTATGTGCTGCCTAGTCTTACACATATTTTCAGTTATGCCTTAACCTCCTCTACCTTTCCCAAAGAATGGAAAATTGCAAATATTATTCCGATCCCTAAAAACAACTCAGCTGACTTTCCAAGGGACTTTAGACCCATTAGCATTTTACCAGCTCTAGCGAAAGTTTTCGAAAAATTAATTTCCACCCAAATAATTCACCACCTTGATAAGTACAGTCTCTTGAGCGAGTTCCAATGTGGTTTTCCATCCAATCACAGTTGTCCTACTGCCTTGTTAAAAGTTATGGAAGACATTCGTCCTGCTTTTGATAATAAGTTACTTACTATTTTAGTGCTCTTAGATTTTTCTAAAGCTTTTGATATGGTAAGACATGACATTCTTTTGTTAAAGCTGCAACATTAGTTTGGTTTTAATTCTGGAGTACCTCAAGGCTCGATTCTAGGTCTCATTCTTTTTAGTGTTTTCATAAACGATATTGTTTATTTTTGCCAAAACTCATGTATTCGTTTATATGCTAATGACACACAGATTTATTTCTCGCGTCCCATCGGTCGAGGTGAAGATTTAGTTTTTAGGTTAAATGATGATCTTGGTAGGATAGTAAAGTGGGCCAAAACGAACGGTCTCAGATTAAAC